TTTCCAAGCTTCTGCACGAATATGTTCCTGCTGCATCTGGCTAACGTTCATTTTTACTCCGAATATGTGGCCGAAGGAAGTAGCGGGTCTCTGAAGTGGGAGGAAATGTGGATAGTTGGGCATCAGAAGGGAGAGGAATTGGTGATAGAAGGTTCAGAGGAAGTAAGAGGATTCGAAATTGGGATGGAGAAATAAAAGAAAGGTGAGAGAGGTGGATTCTTAACTGGAGATTGCGTGGGATTCGATTTCATGACATGTCGTGCTAGCTCGTTGCCCAATACATTTAGTGCAGTAAGGTCAGGTGAGATCATCACAGTTTTAATTTTGGTTTGAGTGTTTAATCTCGCTACACAATGTTGGACTATTGCGATCTGTTGTAACAAAATGATGAAATCACACACAGTACAGTGTTAGAGTTTTTGGGCGGCACATTGTAATTATTTTACTTGTTGGTGTGTAATGTGACCTCCCAGATTGTTATTCTGCCCTTGTATAACAATAAGTTTCCTGTTTGGTCAATATATTCTTGTGGGTGTGTAACTCTCGTCCATAAACATTTAACTCCCCAGAAACCGAAAATCTCGCGGTACTTGCAATTAAGAAAGTACATAGCGCCTGTGTCTATCTGCTAAAATTTGTTCCTATTTTGGGGCTTAGTAGAATTGTCTCTGTTTTCAAGTAAGCTAGCATGTGTACCCCCTAGGATGTAATTGACGCTCTTGCTCTTTTCAAGATGGGTGTGGGTATTTGATGGCTGCTCGTGGGTTTGTCGATGGTAGAAGATATTTCAGGAAAGCGAGGAGAATGTTTTATAACCAGAAACTCTAAATTTGTTCTTTGTTGAGACTGGATGTGGTGCCTGTGTCATTTGAGTAATGACGAGTTCACGGTTGGAAAATTTCGCAGCTTTGCGGACTATGATCCAACCGTCTGAACATTCAACGACCTCTTCCAGCCTCGGGATGCAGATCATGTTGTTTACTTGATTGTAGACTGTCATATAAATGTATTACACATTTTAAGATTTAATAGACTGGTTTCTTTGTTTCCTATCGTCTTTATATATTTTATTATTTATTTATTTCATTCCCTCTGCTTAATCTTATTGTACGCTTCTTCCTTTCTCCTTTCCTTTATTCTTCATTCATTCGAATCAACACTCCTCCTTTCACACTTCTTGTCATTCTAGGGACGTACGAGTAGTTGAATAAGTGAAACACGATGTCCAAGAAAAAAGTGAGGGGATAAAAGGATACGTTGTGCGGAGCGTGGAGATACCGAGGGGAGTGAAAATTGCGTCTGTATGTGTTTGGAAAGCTTCAGAAACAGCGCCACCAAATAGACACCAGCGAAGAATAAAAAGCCGCCCCCTTCTACATACACGCACAAACGTTTTATTGAGGGACATTGAGTTGCGTTTCTGGGATATAGTGACACCATATTCTGCGAAATTAATAAACGAATGAAAATAGTGGGGCTCTGATAATTTACAGCATTAAATCATTCACTGATCGTTTATAAGTAGTATAGAAAAAAATAGTTCACAGGCTTCCAATTAACCTGCTAGAGCGAGAGACCTGTCGACGACGCTAAAGAATGTTCCGAAGTAGTTTTGTGTGTTGCTGACAGATCGCGCTGGTATCTGCGTCGAGTCATTTCTTCGAAGTCCGATATAGCGCTAGTACCGACTGGTTACACAGAGTTCAAGTCGTTCTATATATTCGTATTTACTAGAAAGCTACATGTGCCCCGATAATATTTTCTAATTTGAAGCAACTAAAGAGGTTGCGGACAGTATTACGGCCGAGATACGACAGGAAGTTTGAAAGGTTAGGAGAAAGGGGCTGGAAGGTTGCTGTTTTATTGCAATTAATTATAAAAATACCGAGCAAAATCTACTGCAATATAAAGAACGAAATACGAGTACGTCGAAGTGTACAAAATGTAGTTACTAATATGAGAAAATAGTATTTAAAAACACACTCATATTAACAACCGAAATTATTAGACATTTTACTGTAAAAAAAACTTGTATCGATCCGGATTTCAACTAACTTTTTGAACAATTGTACGCACCTTGTTGCAGTGACTAAAGGTTTTTTAATCAGAAATTTGATTTCATTCTTCTTCCGGATTTTCATGACTCTTTATCAATGTGCTTATGTGCAAAAAGTCGCAATTCTCACGTGTTATTAATTGGAATTTTTTCTCCTCGACCTTAATATCATAATCATTTTCTTTCATTTTCACATGTTTTGCTATTCATTCTAGTGTATCTTAATAAAGACAAGTCTTGACATGTTCAGAGAATCCAGTATTTCATCAAAACGCTCCAAATTATTCTTCCTTTTTCATTTACCCTCCAAAGATGTGCTTTTCGCTAAGCCCCAGATAGAACAAATTCAAGGTCAAACAATTGACAGAATATTTCAAAATAGTGGGTATTCACACCCAAATATTTTAAGATATCCTAATTTATTAAAACATCCACTCTAATTTATTACAATATAAAAAGTCTCAAAATATTTATTCGAGATAAAGTCTTGCTTGGAATGTGTGCAATTATAAATTCTTGTGGTTTTGGATGAAAATCTGGTAGGTGGGAAAGATCAGATATCCTTCCGTTAGAATTCACCATGCTTCATTGATAAAAGGCGTCCTGGAAATGGAACATGCGTCGGAAGGAATTTTGTAGAATGTAACTTTTAAATAGCGATGTTACTCGTTTATGAAGCGTGATGAAATTGGACTCTCATTAGCCTGGATTGATTAGTGACACATCTGGTCATCAGCAGCTTGCAGGTTTGTGTTTTTTGACAAATTGGACAGTTATCACGTTTAATTTTGACGTTTGATGGATTTAAATTACTTCCAACATTTTCGTGAATGTATGGAAAATATTTGTTGTGGTAAAGTACTGCTTTTGAAACTGGAGTACTACGCAAATTGGGAGATAAGAAGCAATGGTAACTGAACGAATATGGGTATGTTGGTGGGTATGTAACCATTTTTGAGAGAGGATCCTTCTGGAGCATTCCTATCTAATTATCACAAAAACGTGTTAGAGGGGAGGGAAGTTTAAGCAACAAAAACGTATTATGAAGGTTTTTAAGGCCCCCGAAGAGGTGATTCTTAGCAACAGTGTGACATTTAATTGTAAGTCTCGTAGGAACCATATTTATCAGAGGTCAGTATCAAAAGCCCCCTATAAAAACATTTACATACAGTACATTATATTATTTTACAGCATGTTGCGAGATGATATTAAACAATTAAAGTCGATACACAAGTGCCAATTAAAATATTTTAATATAACTATTTCTAGGCAATTGGAGACTAGACAATGCGTCAAAAAGGAAAATAATATTTATTTTCACTATAATATTTAATGCATTTGTTACTATTCGTACTGTACAATTTTAAATATGCCTGTATCAAGTATTGTACTTCATCATCTGGACAATGACCCCCATCGCGAACAGGTTTTTCATTTAGTTTCCCTTGATCCATACTTTACCTTCATAATTCAAATTAATATAGAAGAAGAGTTAAGGTAGGGATTTGAAAGCTCAAGGAAACTTCCTGAGATATCCCCCATGCGTCACACACAGTTTTCATCTTTTTTGACTTTAAAAAAGTAAATAAATAAATGATGAAATCGGTTGGCGCGGCTTTTTAACCGGATCCTTGTAGCAAATTCTGGAAGAACTTAAGAAAAACGCTGGAGAGGGGTCGTGATGTTCGTGATGGCTTAATTCGTTATATTAACAATAATTAAACCTAAATTTGTAATGAAATATTACCATTCGAAAAGAAGGAATAATTCATGTAATTTTCTATGCTCGAGAATAGTAGTACCAAAGTACTGTTTTATATTCCAAGTTTCCTTTTATTCTGAACTTGCATGCATGAATGAACATGCACAAATGAAATGTTTAACATTAAAATATAGTCGAGGACGCCACATTAAGCGAGTAAAGAATATTGCTTAGTGACAGCGTCATGTTACATACGTGGGTAATAAAATAATAATGTTCTAGTAAAACTTGGAAGGGGGCCAACTATGGCACCGATTTGTGATTTGATATTTATAATATGATTCTAAAACAATCAATAGAAAAATAAAATAGTAGGTATTAATAAAATTAGGAAGAAAAATCGTTTGGGCAAATAACTTGAATTTGTATCTCGACACACGAAAATAATCGTTCAGGAGAATTGGTTTGAATCTATTGTAATATTTTGTCGTGTACTCTTGCACGCGCTGGAAAATTCAGCTGAACCAGTGTGTAAACTTACCTTTCGATTATTATTTAAAAAAATACCTCCTGTGCAGGGTGGCCATGATGACGGTCTATCGGACATTCTGTGCCCAAACGTTTCGCCTGCTATTGCGGCAGACATCTTCAGTAGCCGCAGTAGCAGACGAATCACCCAAACCCATTTAACCATAGTAAACCATACTACAACCATGCGAACCATAACCATAAACCATACTAAAAACAAACCCATTTGAAACTGCCGGCTAAAATGGTTCAGTTACATCCTTTGCCGCCACAGCGTCTCTGATCGGAAGGTCTAGGGTTCGAGTATCGATAGAGAGGGATTTTCGACACTAGCCACATACTAACACAGCTTCTTGCACTACTCGTGTTTGCATGTGCTGTCACCTAACCACATGCACACTCGGGTGACAAGCAGGATTGTCAATGTGTATACTGAACTATCTACATTTCTTTAATTTTAGAAGGTTTCCATTGCTTATAGAATGACCCTCGTAGAACTTTAATGCTAACTTGTAATTTTGCGACATAGAAAATTGGTGCTTTTGCCTAGCGCTATGCAAATCCGGTAACGCTATCCTTTACGGAGAGCAAGCAAGGGAGAGGGTAAAACTATTCTTTTCCGGCGTATGTTTCCCCTATCAGCCTCTGCTAATACCCCTTCCCCAGATGTAACCGCTTCATTCGCCATCTGTCCCGACGTCCATCAGTATGCTAATGCTCGGCCAATATCGAACCCATGACATACCGAAGGGGAAACTCCGGTTGGAGCGCGATAACGAGTACGGAGCTGAGCGGATCATCAAGCTGGTTGCATCAAGCTACGCGGAAAGCCAGATGCCGTTCACCAATCTGCCTCCATTGTGTTTCACTCCAACTGTCAATAGGTCCAGAGTTATACGCAGGTATGCGTGCTCTATATACTTGGACCTATGGTCCGAGTAAAATAAGTGCTCAGTGGTACGCAACCTGTCAACGTCGGTCCTTTCATTCCCAACTGTCTATCACCAACTTCTTTTAATCGGACCAGAGGGCTCCAAATTTCTAACGGACACGAAAGTCATCAAAATAATTAAGGTTTAAATCAGTTTGGTGTATAAAGTAATCAAATGCTCATTCATTAATGATATAATAGTATTTAATAATAATATCAACAATAATGTTTTACATTTCACCGTCCTACCGCCAGTGTCAAGAGTGAATCACATGGAAAGTATTAGAGGTGCTTCGACAGCACTTATATTCTTTTATTAATTTTAACTTCTGCAATTTTCCAAAATCGGAAAGTTGAAATGAAAATTAGACCTGCGCAATTTTTAAGTGTGCTAAACTCTAAGCGAAGAAAAATTTAAAGAAAAAAAGTTGGATTGTTCTTAAGAAGCAATTTGTTTATAGTTTGCATTAACTTCAACCAGAAATTCCGCATTACGTCGGTTTTTTAATGTTCATGACTTATTTAAAGGTTTAATCTTGTAGAACAAATTTCCTTTAAAAAAATATCCCTTATCAATATTGTACCTTTGGCATGTTTATTTTTTGCAATTTTCAAAATTGCGGAGAATTCTTCGAATATAATGTAGTTATACGAAGACACAGAAAAATGTCCGAACTTATCGACTTTGAGAAATTTCAGAAATATGAACAAAAATGAGACCTGCGCATTTTTAAGCCCTTTTTACTATATATCTTGAATGTTATAGTTATAGGACACTGATAAAGTTGCACTTTTGCAGTTTTGTAAAATTGTAGGTTTCAACGAGAATGAGACACTGTTTTTTTAAGTATTCTGTACGCTCTCCGAGGGCAAATGGAAATTTTGAAAAAACCGTTTATTAATTTTTGAGAACATTTCGACAATGTTAGGCTGCATATAGAGTACTTTCAAACATCAATTTATCGTTTCAAACTAACAGGGCTTTGACTTCGTTCAAATCGATCGGCAAATATCAAATTTGGAGAAAATCGTCTGAACGGTTTAAGCGCTTATGTTGATCACAGATGGACAGACAAGTGTTTTGCCGTCCATCGATTTTGCTGTATTAAGAACCCACTACATCTGACTAAACAGAATGTTAGAGGAAGTAATTTACTGTTCACAGGAACAAGATTTAACCACATTTTCGTTACCGTGGGGCGACTGCGCGAGTTTTTCGGTAGAAAATTTGCCGATATCCATACTACGTAAACTTAGTATGGCGAAAAAGTAAAAATTAAAGATTTAAATACGGTCGTGTACAATTTTTTGGAAAAAAAAGTAGTTTTCTCGAAAGCTTTGTTTGAAGTAAAGGCAAATTTTAAAAACTGATTTTTAAATGGGTTAAAATTTATTCTTTAATTTTTTTCTTCGCCTAGAACAGAGGACGTTTAAAAATGGGTCAGCTGCCTTCTTCGTTGAACTACGTGAATTTTCGTAAATATTGAAAGTTGGCAATAATGCGAGATAGTATTTACTGTTATAGCAACTCTAATTTTGATTATCTCAGTTCGTGACGGTGAGCCGTCCCTCACTGGCATAAAGTGAGATAACTGAAACTAGAGTTGCTAAGGTCGCTGTATCCCGGATCTCCGAGGCTTTGCGGATATTTGTGGTCATTGGGGAAATGGGTCATTTGAAGAGGGCTTATTGGCAATATAGGTGGAAATGAGGACTGACTGGGAAAGAAAGAATCGGAGGCGGTTTGTGACCTGATTATACGAGCCTAGAAGTCATCAGATGAAATTACGAAATTTTTTGCTTCTAAGAAAGTAATGGAATATTTTGAACGATGTATGGCAGATATCACAGATAACATAGTAGATGTTAACTTTGGCTATCATCTCGATTTACAAACTTCAACCACGTCCCCGATTTGCTCGATATCGACTTAATGACGTTAGTAACTAAACTTGGAATAAAGGAAAGAGACACGCAATGGTAGTGAACCTCTCCAGTCTTGTTTGGTTGCGCCAGAGGCGCAACTTTCTGGCGAGTCTCCGTGGAACGCGTGCCTCGGAATGGTTACCACCGTGGTGGTCTACCCTCCGGCTTCTCCGCATTCGCCAATCCTCTGCCCATCCCTCGCAAATATGGGGACCACCCAAAATCATGTGTTCTTTGCGCCTGAACTACCAGTTTGTTCATTGCGGTAGGTCTAGACCACTCGTGTAGAAGCAATAAACGTCTAATCAGGAAAGAATAATAATACGGATGACAATGGGCAGAAATGTCGTCAAACAAAGATCACATGCAGGACAAACGAGGAGTTTAAATCACACCGCCATCGCAGAATTTTTTCAACTACAGTAGATATAGGACGACGTGGTTGGGTAACGTATCTCCTATTGTAAGCAACTATCATGCCCCGCCTCCCTCTCTCTGTGTGTCTCTCTCGTCTCTAGTCTCTCTCATTCTCTCTTTCCCACTCTCTTTCTCTTAGACACTACACACACACAACTGTGCCACAGGCACGTATGAATATCCTAACCCTTTCATCTGTTAATGAAAAAGTAATGAAATATTCCCGTCTACAGAATAATCCGTTTGTATATTAATAATTGTGTTTTTATACTAGTAGCCTATGTGAACATTTCACTCTTACAAAGAAGCATCCAATGTTGGGAAATTAAACGAAACTTGGTGAGAAATTAGTCCTTCATGCCGAGTTCACCTATGAGTATTCGTAGGGTACCAATGCATTTTTTTCATAGTTTTAATACATACAGCAAAATAGTATTTTCAGAAAGTGAATAACTATTGAGTAGTTATTATTTAAGTTTGGAAATGAAAGGAATAATTGTATTATAGTATCATTTCCAATTTGAGGTGTTCATTTTAACACCAATGTTGTTTTGTTAATAAAGGGATGGTGATGAAATTTTATTTCAGTTTTTGTGTTTATAATAATTTTTGGGTTATACTAAATACTGAATATCATTTAGAGAGATTTACTTGAATTAAATATGTTTCCAAATTCCCGCTTGGCTTTGGTATCGTCTGAAAGAAGGTAGAATTGCGTAGTATAGAGAGATTACTTTAAGAAGGGACCGCTTTGACAGCCGCTGCGTGGCACTGCTGGCAATATAACTGCATGATAAGTCCATGCATGCATTTTGTCAGTGCGTTCGTTTACAGTTAGCTCATTTGCAAATGGCATTATCACTATCTCTTGCAATGTCATCGCCCTGCATGACGTTTATTTGTTTCTCGACCTGTCAAAGTGATCCCTTCTTAGAGTTACTCTTCTGTACTTGGTGCGTTTGAAGAGGTGAGGTGGGTACACGAGGGTTGCCCCCAAGGAAATCTACGAGCAACGTTCCAACATTGGAACTTGCTATCGCAGCGCCACGTACGTGACTCATGTGCCCCAGCCCTGCTGGAGGTGCGTTGAATGGGCGAGGAAACGCATGCTCTGGCGGGCTGGGGCCGATAAGAATACTCTCGGTTTCTGCGGTCACCTTCTGCGCCCCGGCGGCGTCCGCCGCTGTAACGAGAACTAGGACTGCAATCCTTTTTGTCATGTGCGTGAAGAAAAGACCAAATAATTGAGTAAATTGCGATTTCTTCAGCAACATAATAATTTTCTTCTTGAAGTCGTAGGCCTCCGCGGAGACACGTGCTTGTTATCGGCTGTTTATGCGTTGAGAGCTAACCAGCCTACTAGGTAGCGTTGCCAACCGCTCTCCATTTGGTAGGTCAGTCCTCCATTGGCGTCAATTTTCCTCTCGTCCTCTTGTGTATTTTAAATATCCTCCTTGTAGTAAATTTTTAACATTTGTTGGCATTTATTTTATCACATCACTAACATCTACTACGTTTATCGTTTGTTGTTCAATTTAGAATAGAAAACATGAATATCCTTTTTCTGACACTGACACGCGCAAGCATGATAGTGTGTCTGTCTACCTGTTAAAATAAAAAAGAGACGCTCGAACTATCTTCAGCTACATTTTATGAACGAATCTTTTCACTTGCATCGCAATTAGAGATAAAGAAGAAATAGACCTGAGGATAGTCCAAATTGAATATTTATAAAAAGAAATGTTTTAAAGCGTTTTTTTAGTTTCTTGGCTTATCGAGTGTCATTTACATGAAGAATGTTGGCATCCCTATCTCTAGGTGTTTTTCTGACAGGCGAAAGCAAGCACACCATTTCTATTTATCCTTCTTTTTCAACATCTTCCTCTTCTCCTCCTTTTTTTTCTTTTTCTTCTCAGTCTTCTCCTTTTGTTCTTCCTTCTCTTCCTAGCCTTTCCACTAGCTATGCTGTAGCAATACGAATATGTATGTATATAAATCCAAGCCTACCGCATTGTACGGGAATATTTTATTCAATACTAGCGGAACCTGGCAGACATTCTGTCCTTCATCTCTATCTTCGTCTCCCCCCTCTCTCTCTCCATCGACCCTCTCTTCCCCACCCTCACACGCCCAGCAAAAATGTAATAGAATGTTCAAAACGATCTCATCCTAGATTAAAGTGTGAGAAACGTTTCTGTGAGGACTTTCGCCCCATACGTTTAGTTTTTAATGCCCAAAATCGTTTTGTTTGGGAGTTATTTAACGATATAGATTTTAAAAAATCATGCCGAGAGTTTTGGGGGTTGCATTTGACAGGAATGTTTAGTTTTGTTCTACAGTGCCATCTAGTGATTTTTGTTTTCGATATTTTAATTGTTATTCTGCTATTCGGAGCGGAGATGAATCCAACAAACCAGAGATAATTAGAATTGGTCTAGCCTTCTTCAGTTATAAATACTGTAACTAACCCGACTTTACATAGCATCGTAGGCTTTCACTGTCGGAGTCAATAGAAGATAAATTTTACGGACTGGTAGGCCGTGGTCCAGTTAGCATTGAAAGGCCAAACGTGTTTCGTTCACATCAGCGGTGGACATCCTTAGTGGCGGTAGGGTCGCGTGCCTACCAGCCCGGAAAATGTTTATTAACTAAATTCTAATAACTTCTGAGTACTAACTTCTATTAATCGGACTTTGTTTTCTATATATCAATGTAATTGATCGTGTCTCACGATATTTCTGAATGCCTGTTCCGATTGCTCGAGATGTGTAAGTATTTTGTTAAGTTACATGGGCAATTAAGTATTTCTGAGATAGCTGTAATCACAATGCTAATGGAATGATACTCCTACTCTCATAGTTTTGAGTTTTTATTTTGCTTTCTACGGGCTGCCATAACGCGTTTCCATTGTAGTAGACACTTTATCTTATATATCTTATATATAACATTATCTTACATAGAAAACATAATTATTTGTAATGTAATTTTCGAAACATTCTCTAATTTGTTTTTATTACTCTCTCCACATATCATATTTTTGTGTTTGAACAATTAAAGTCCCTTTATCGGACCAACAAAACGCCCACCACTTTATCACACGGACAAAGGAAATCGGAGGAGGAATGCCAAAACGTGCTCAGAAACAATTTTTAGAGTTATATTTCTTGTAGTATTATTTTCCAAAAGACATTCGTTTATGGGCATTCTTAACAGGTGTATTTTCTGAATTTGGATTGGCAGTTCTGACTGTATTCTTCACGTATGGCCATTATTCCCTGTACTACTATATTTTCATGCCCGGAGATTTCAATGATTCATAGAAATTTTGTCTTTTTTTTTTTTACCCATGAATTTAGTTGTGAATTTCAGAATAAAATGTGAAATATGATAAATATCGTGTGATACTGATTTCGTGATTTTACATATGTAACATATATCTCTAGGGGCATAAGAAGTATAGTACATTCTTTCCCAGTTATGTACGTCACTATCTTTACTATCGTCCCTCATCAGACTATGGAGGGTAACTTTACCTGGAAAATGCAAACATTGTATTAAAATGATTATAACGTGTTTTACCCGAAGCAACCCACCCTCCGCCGTGGTTGTAAATTATTAAAAACAATTTAAATACCCACGAACACACAGGCTCCTCAGATCTGCAATCAACAGTATGAGAGATACTCCGAGGCACATCACAACACAGATGATGGGCAGGGTACTGACATTCATGCCCGGAGCGAGATTCGAACCTACAACTCATCATAACTCTAATGAAAATTGCGCACCGTGCCACAGGAATCCGCTCCCAGCGCCAGACGGTTACTGACTCAACCGCGTGTCCTTTCATTCTCTGGGTTTCGATGTTCAAAATTCGGTCCATGCATGTGGAATTTCTGGTAGATAAAATAGGCTTGTGTCATTTTTATCGGTTTCCAGGCTTTATATATATATA